GTCACGCACCAGAGGGTGCTGTGCTGCCTAGTTCGTCCCATCCGCCCATGTCTCGTATTTGCTAATAGTCATTTACCATATGATACTTCAATCCATTTTCCCACTTAAATACATGTAGTTTAATAATGAAGAAGGGCTGAATTTCTAAATTCCAGTTGACATATATGTGTATGCTGATGCTATGTAAACTGCAGTTAACATCCTTGACCAGGTTCCAGTTGATATTGAAAAAAAAACTCATATTTACCTGAGAACAGGTGTGGCTTGTCAGAAGCCAGGTAGGACAGAAAACCTACTGGACAGAAGCTCTCCAGGATCAGAGTTGGAGACCCCTAATCTACATGTTAAAGAACTCACAATAGAACTGGAAAACTGGCATATTCATTAACACATGTATCAATCTGTTGTGCTATTTCTCAACAGTTTGGCTGAACTGGACAAACAAGCTTGATTAGTTGATTGTCCTTTGCCTGATTCTATTAGCTGCCAGCAGGGGGGTGTCACTAAAAAAGCTGGGCCCCCAAATCATATCATTTTGGGCCCCCAACCCAGACCAATCAAATTGTGTTCCAGATTTTTTAGGGCCCCTGTAATAACCTTGTGTTGCCCCCGGTTGCAGGACAGAATCAAGCAGATAATATGGATGTTGATGCCATGAAAGTTTCTAGTTTAGGTCCCTGTGGATTTTTTTCTTCTTTCTGGGGGGGCTGATTGTCCTGTTCTGAGGAATGTTCAGCTGTGTAAACTGGAAAACACTTCATGAAATCATCGGCAAAGCAAATTATTAATAAAGGCTTGTGTGTTTATGTGTTTGTGTGTTTATACCAAGGTTTCACAAAAGCACAGAAGACAGTGGTAGGAGTCGCTCAGCCAGACTATGCTAAGTGACTGACGATGCTATTTCACTAAAGCTGCTGTTCGGATATTGTTCACCTGATGCATTCTGTGTACCTTGGTAGCCAATAGGAAAGGGTCTGTGAACCATGTGAGGGGCAGGTCTTAACATCACACTTGGCCAAAGCCTGAGTGTTTAGAGAGCTTGAGATGTACTTTGCAGGATTTCTGCATGGTGCTAATGTGTTTAGGGAGAAAGTGCTTGCGGCTTGAAATAAACAGATTTGTCTGTTAGATCAGCTTCCAAAGCCAGTGTATCAAACTGTGAATAATTCACCGAATCGTCAGTTATGAGTAACTTTCACAGCAAACAAAGCCTGTTTACATCCCGCCTGTGAGGCAGAGGCTGGCAGTGACGTGCTTATGGTGTTTGGTCATGGTGAAATCGGGCCTGTTCAGAGAGCCTCTCTGAGACACACAGCACAGGCTGTGCAAAATGGAAGGAAGGAGAGTTTTACTTCACTGGTTAGCGGTAGGGGAGGGGGCGGGTTTAATTGAGTTTGTGGCAGGAGGTTAATGCTGCATTCTATTTACCTTGGAGCTGGGGGCTTAAGTTGGTGTTGGGAATGATGTCATACCCGAGTGAACCACGTTCCAGCACAAGTCGGAAAGCCATTTAGCAACACCAGTCCTAGCCGGATTCGTTGTTAGCCATTGTTAGCAATACCAGTTGATAAAAATGCATTAGACAGTATTTTGCGCATACAAACACCACAGCAACATGTCCACCGATAGCGGTTGGACAGTACTGTGTGTACGACTGATGTAATGAAACTCAAATAAGACATAAGTGCTAATACACAGTATATAACTACAGCTTCCCCTTCTGTTGATGAAGGGAGCAGCCATCTTGAATTCTGAGGTCGGGGTTGCAGAGGTTCCTCCGATTTTCCGAGTCAGAATTCCGACTTCCTGGAGCATTCCAGTTGAAATTCCTGAGAAGGAACTTGAATTTCAAACATCCGAGTTCAAATGGAACAAAGCATAAGAATCACAGATTCTGGGGTGGTGATGGGAATGGATATGGCGTGAAAGCCGGGGGGGGAGGGGGGTGATGGAGGCAGCTGGTACTTCCGCTACGCAGTCACATTACAATCAACCCAGCTAGAGGTAGGAAATGTACCCAGTTCAGCTGGTTTAAGAATTAAATTGGTCTTAGATTCATTGTGAATTATGTCCAGGAACTGCAGCTTTGTAGCGTGCCTGAGCATTCTTCATAAAACACGAAGCGACAATATTCATCCTTCCACTTCTGAAGGAGGAAAAAAATCATAAAAGAAGAAAACAAGCCATTCGGTCAGATGAGAGGCCAAATGTTAAGGTCCAGAGGAGCGACACGTATGAATACCGTTCACATTTCAGCTCATTATGTTGCTATGTTACTGAAATTGTGCATAACACTCTTTTTTTAACTTAACGTTCAGTTGTTAGGACTCTGTAACCGCGACTGGAAATTCATTCATATGCCATTTCAAGTTCCATGGCTGGCAGATGGATTCACACTGGGGCTCCTTAACCCCAGTTACTCCAGAGACTCTGCTCTCTGATTCTCAGATGTACATCACTTTGGACGAGTGTGTCAGCTAATCACAAATACTTTCACAGACCAAATGTTTGTATCCAGTAGTTTTATCAGAATGAAAATGGAAATTCTTAAGACTTAATTTCACCTCATTTGAAATGGACCTGAATAGAGTAAAATGCAATTCTGAGCATCATTAGAGGGCAATATAGGGAAAGCAACACAGAACCTCTGAAACAGCACCTCAATTACATCTTAACACTGACCTTGAGGTTACTGACTGGATGAAAAATGCAACACTGGCAAAAAAGTTTTCAATAAAAAGAGAATAAGTAAAAATTATCTTTTGAAAACCCTTCCAATTTGTGTGGTCGCATTGAAGAAATGCATAAGCAATACACAAGAGTATATCACATGAAATTCCAAATGTATGACCAACACCAGCTAATCCCAAATCTGAGTCCCAAAACAGCGACTAATCCCAAAGTTATGGAAGGCAATAACAAATTCCAAACCAATATGGCACTAACTAATCCCAAAATGTACACAAAGCAGGACTAATCCCAAATATATGTGTGGCGGTGACTAATCCCAAATTTGTGTGAAACTTGACAACTGTATACAAAAACCAGGGCACCTCAATGACCAGCTGTTAGCATTCAGGCAAGACTGTGGTACAGATTCATGTATGTGTTCCAACGGGTTTACTGACATTGGATGTAATTCCAGATAATCTGAAAAAACTCACTCAATATCACTTTTCTACATCCACCATTGAGTATGAATGGATTTCCTCATCACTGACGACATATATCTACAGTGGATTAAGGGATGCTGTTAGACTTTTTGGTCTGCAGAGGACAGTGTGAGCCACCAAACAACATTCCTCTGCTGGACTGTCCATTTCACCAGCATGATACTGCCCATTTCCCTTGGTTCTGTGCAGGTCTGAAACACACCCATACCTAGTCTTCTCCCAGCAAAACCAGGCACACCAAAGTACCTTCAAAATTCCATAAACTACAATCTTAAAAACTTCAAAATCTTTCCAAAATATATCAAGCTGGTACATTCAAAGACAGAAACTACCAAAAAATATATATTTGCATAACAATACCTATTTCAATTACTGCTGCAATTTGCAATATTAGTACGTAGGCAACACAAGCTACAAATAAATGATCAGATTTTTAAATTAGTGTTTTGTTCTTAATCTGAAAAAGTGTCATAACAGAGGTGGCTTGTGAAGATGGGAAACAGTATGTTGGCTTGGAGACTGTCTGGGCTGCTGTACCTTTCTCAGCCTCTGGGGGCACCATCAGGAACATGTTGTTCAGAGCTGGGGGAGGTCAATACACATAGAGGGCTTCACTGTGTGCAAACCCTGATCCTGCATCTCAGCCATACCTGCCAACATTAGGCTGTGAAAAACAGGGAGATTTTGCCCTTGATGATAAAAATCTGCCGGTGACCTCAGCAGTCAGATGCTGAAATGTTCACTTGTGATTGGTTCTGTGCTGGTGCCGTGTCGGGCCTGCAAATGTCAAACTCCTCCCCATACGGTTCTACTCAGCAGCGCAGCTCCTCAAGCCTCTTATCCTTCTCTCCAGTTCACTCTCGCTCTTCTTGAAACCTCCTTTCCAGCTACATTCTATGATTTAGATATTAAGAGCCAGAGCGAGGAGAGTACAGCAGCGAAAGCTCTTTGAGAGGATGTGTCAGAGGTGAGTCACTGCCCGAGATAAACATGTACTGTAGCTGCACCCCCTGTGCTTTGTTGGTTACGCACAGTAACTCACATTCACTTTTCTTCGATTAACAAAGACTTGTTTTTAGACTATTTTTTTTTATAAAGATTTCTTGCTATTGGTTCTGGGGTATGATTGCACTCTGCTACACAACCTAATCATGCAGGCCCATTCTGTGGGGCTGTACCACCGATGTGACATGCGGCCAAAGAGGTGACGCAATCTGAGAAGCCATGGGACTGGGGGGGCGCCAGAGCCCCAAGTCAATGCAATCTGATCTTCTAACATTATGTCCTTCACAAGTCCTGGCTGCAGACTGCTGGAGACAAAACAGCTGAGATCTGACGTTGCGTACACCTGCACCCCCCACTCAGATGTTATTTTGCTTATTACTCTTTATGCACCAAGGTCTTTTTAAATGGAGTGCTGTAATTTTGTGGCTCTCGTGGTACTTATCATTAGCAACCGTGGGCTGCCATCTGCTCTGATCACTGAGACGGGACAGAAGACTGAAGCAGACCCACGAACATCCAAGAATGTTCTCTGAGGCCATTGTTGCCCAAAACATGGTCTCACTTCATGCTAGTACCACATCCCAGATGTCACTCAGCTGCGGCCGTAAACATCCTTTACCAGGCAAGATACCTTTGAGTCCACATAATCTGATCTAATGCACTGTATGGTATCCAGTGCTCAGGCAGGAATCCTCACTGCCTCCTGTGTTTTCACACAAGGCTGCCAGCATATGGCGCCACATCGAAGATGATGCAATTTAAGGACACATTTCTGTCAGTTTGTGCTCCACAGCCGATGGATTGAAAGCCAGGGCGACTCACCTCTGACCTCCGCGGAGAACTGGGCAGAATGCCGTGTCACAAAGAGCTGCAAGTGCTGGTCCAGGTCACAGGAAGCGAGGCTGATGTCCCACGAGCGGATTCCTGTAGGAGTCACAAAGCCAGCACAGTGGAAGCCATTATCACAGACGCATGTGGTCAGGAAGCTGCGCGTGCGTGTGTGTGTGTGTGTGTGCGTGTGTGTGTGTGTGTGTGTGTGCGTGTGTGTGTGTGTGCGTGTGTGTGTCTGCAAGTTGTGAGAGCTGTGAAGGACAGTCAGCTGAGTTAGATCCAGCATCTCAAGCCTTACAGGTGCCCTTGCCAGCTGCTCAGTTTCTGTTACAGTTTATTTTCATTAAGCCAATTTAAAATGTAGCCTTAAACTTCATCCTGCAAGCTAACCTGTGCTACAACAAAAGGACCCATTCTCTTTGTATAAATTGTATATGTTGTGAACTTGAAATGTGTAAAGTGATTCATATGCCTCTTGAAATGTGTAAAATTTAAGTCAGAAAAGTCGCTAAAGTGAAAGTTATGCATACTATGATTTCAAAAGTAGTTTAAATTTATGCTATAAATCAGCCTCAACGATAGTTGTAAACATTTCCATAGTGACTTATATGTTTATCACACCCTTGGACGCTGTTGCTGTTGTAAGTCCTTTGTGAATTCTAATGAGTATCCATTAGCTATAGTGGGGGGGGGGGGTCCCCTGAGATGTGACTGTGCAGTGTGGGTGGGTGGTCAGCATGTGCACTGGGTAGCTATCAAGGCGCCGCAGAGGGAATGCCAGCCAATGAACAGCTGTGCTCGATGCACTGGGAGACACGAGTGGGCAGCTATGCAATGTGGGCGGGGCTTAGACTGGGGAGCCCAAAGGGCGCTAAACTGTCCTGGTTGGAAGTTTGTGGCAACATGCAAATGAGGTCAGAGCGCCGGCTGATGTTACAATGAAACCACAGCAGCGGGCAGGAATGGGGGACGAGGCTCTGAAAGTGAGGCACTGAGCCGAACGCCGCATCTGTAACATGTGTCTTTGATTTTACCATAAGCCGCTAAAATGGATGCCAAACACCCACAGAGATTACACAAACTTCGGGAATCTGGCACATTTGCTCAATGATTTTGCTCATAAATCTTATGGTTGTAAAGATTTATTGCCTTTCAGATTTGAATACAGACGTAATCATTTACTGTGTCACATTACTGGTTTATATAATCTATATCATATTCTTATATAATATACTTATGTAAACTTATATAATGGAATTTCATCAGACAGGATTGAGAATACAGCCTTAGTCAGACATTGATTTTTCAGTGTAATAGTGAATTAAATTAGAAATAGATTTTTCCCCCCTTTTTATGGTGATATCACTCTTGTGATATCACTCTTCTAAAACACCCTGTACTCATACTCAGGTATTCTGGAGCCTGGAGTCCCATTCTGTTTCTTTTCAGTGAAACAATCTTCTCACTCAGCATTGTCACTCCCTCACTGCTTGAAACTCACAGCCCCAGCTGCGATGCAAGAAAAGTTTGTGATTTTGTGCGAGGTTGCAGAGCTTGACCCCATCGAATGACGTGCGATCGCTTATGTCAATGAAAAACGCTTATTTGATCAATTAATATTTGTCATAACTGACCAAAGATTAGTTAATCTATGTATTGATCAGGTTACGCATTTTTGATTTATGCAGCATATTTTAATTAAAGTTTAGCTCTTGGTTTCGTGGTTTTAAATGCATATGATGTAGGCTAACTGCACTACGGAAAACCCTTTAGATGATGGAGCTCTGATGAAAGAATTGAGGCAGCTCTGTAACTCTGCTGCAACACACATCACACTCACCCTTGTGCAGCTCATCATAACAGAGACCTCCGTTCTAAACACATCATGCACTATATAACCGCCGCTGTTTATGATCCACAGTTGCAGATAATGTTTATAGGGCGGTTTGGAACCCGAATTAAGTTTCTGTGAGCTGATGCATAAATTTCACCTGTTTCAAAATAATTCCATGCGCATACACTGTGTACCACGTCAGTACTGTTGTCAGTAGAGCTATTGATGCAACGCAACGCAAGCATGACATTCAGTCTGCTTACATTAGCGCAACTTCGTTCTGCAACGCAATGTCTCCTACTTACAAAAGATGGTTAAAACCTGCCGCAGATTTCAACCTGCCCAGCACTGGCAGTAAACGCCTGACATAACTTGCTATATGATGCACCTTTAGTATAAAACGTGTCGCAGTTCGTTTTTAAGCAGGATGGGTGATTCCAGTCCAATACCATTTTTCCTCATAACAAAAAACACAGATAAAGTCATAACTTCATGAACGTGTTATCATATGCACACATTAAAAAACATAGTTAACTTGTAGTTACATATAAGCGAAATTTTAGGTAGAATATAGGTGCCGGGAAATGTGGTTCGCATGAATTCCAAACAAATAAACAAACAAGTAAATCTGTTTTGAATCTTAAAAGTCTCATTAAAACTTCGTATATTTGAATGTCTTAATCTTAACAAATATTTATTTATTTCATTAGCGAAAGGACACCCCCTTTCTGCAGTAGTGCCCCATCTCAGTAAGATCTCAGGAGGCCCGCTTCCGAATTTCACACGACAGGTTCAAAGGATTCAGTGTTTTGGTAGCTGCGTCGACAGTAATACCTGCCAGTTGTTTTATTGCATTGCAGTCACGTTTTAAGATGTCAGGGAGCTCACTCACCCTGTTTAATGTGCTCTTTCACTGCCTGTAGCTGATGGTCGGTCGCGATCTCCCCGATAACGATAAGCATGCAATAGCTCTCCTCACAGAACGGCGGTCCACGGCGTCGCTGCTGTCCAGGGTGCTGATGGGGATCCTGCCGTTCCTCGGTATCCAGCCGCGCAATGCTTTCGCTCTCTTTCACATCCTTCGTCGCAGCTTCGGAATGCATCTCCATGGCAACAGCACCGGGAGCCGACGCCGGGCCCACATCTATTTCCATGACAACTGCTGCCACGAGTACGGCGAACGTGGAAAGATCGGGGTGGAACCTATGGGAGGGACGCTCACATTTGGTGCTAATAGACTCCTCTTGATTGGCCGAAAGCCCGTGCTGGTGTTTGATGTCATTGTCAGCCAATCGGGTTCCCAAAGAGAAGGTGAAAAATCCTGTAACTGTACCATTCTGCAGATGAACTGCATCTGCAATACAGGCAAAAACTGTGTTTTCGGAATTTTGAGGTTTTTGACATCTGTTATTTGGGTAGATGTTTATAGTTACTGATGTTTTAGATATTTAGTTATAGATTCTCCTTAACTGATTACAGATAGCTGGTATTGATCAGTATGTTCATCTGTATAGAGATTAGTTAGGACTTACTGTGTTTGTCACAGCAGAGCATAGCACAGCACAGTTCTCTGTAGTATTCTGCTTACAGTAATCAATCAGCACATTGGCTGCAGATACCATGCATGCAGATCACCCATTCTGATCTGTTACAGTGTATGAAGTTAAATCAGTGAGAGGTGACACATTGTTACTAGATCTACTAGATAAGGGTGGGCAACACTGAGAGCCTAAATAAGGTAGGATGTCGTTCCTGTGATACAGCCCTGTGGTTCCCCTCTCTCTTATCCTGGAGATGGCCCTACACTGCAGCTCTTATGCTAGGTTGGGCATCCATCCAGCAGGAGGAGAGGTCTAGTGGGTAAGGAGCATGAAGGAGAGAGTCAAACTGTACCCATAGATTCAGCGTCTTCACTGGGTGGCGTCTAAGCTACAGAAACTCAAACATTTGGGGTAAACATTTACTAGTGAACCACAGGCAAGAATTTTTATATAATTTTGTTCTTTTTGGTTACAAACTCCATAAAGTTAACAATGACATCATTAAAACATGCTAGCAACATGCCTAAGTTTTATAGTTACACAGATGATGCCACAAAGCCACCAGCTGTATGGTTCAGAAAGAAGGTTTCGAAACCAATGATGGGTGGGATTACTGTGACCTCTTGAATGAATTAGCCAATGTGGGTTCAGTTTATTGATGACTGACAGCACAGTTCACAGCTTAAGTTTTTGCCCTGCTGATGTATGTGCATAGTATGGCAAAGAAATGCACAGCAGGCATATCTTCTCCCATAGCATTGATTAATACCTTTGTATTTTCCGGCTGGCTGAGCTACAGCAATATTAGTTGCTGTTGTAATTGATAGCTGTGACCCCTGCTATGGTGCACAGCATGCTGCAGCTATGCGGGCCACATCCTGCTCCTCCATGAATCAGCACTTCTGATAAAACACACAAGCCCCTTTGCCTCCCCCTGGTGGATGAACTGTCATACTTTCTGAAAGTATTTTCTTTTAGCACAGAGGTGCAGGAAGTAAGATCAGGGCCGAATTTACGGGACTGAGGCCACCAGGCAACCTACTGCATAAAATGCTGCAGTAACAAGCAGAAAGAAAATGGGGCTCTTCACAACTGGGGGCCCTGGGCAATGGGGGGGGGGGGGGGGGGCAAATTTTG